AAAGTAAAAAATATAGAGAAATAAAAAGAGAGAGTGTGGTGCCATGGTTCACACCTGTATTCCTACCTAGCACTTTCTGAGGCTGAGGTGAGCAGATGGCTTGAGCTCAGGAGTTCAAGACTAGCCTGGGCAACAGGTCTCTACCACGACGTGGCCCTGGGATGCGACATGTGAAGGTGGAGGTGGGTGGATGTCTCATCCAGAAACCTCTGCTCCCCAGCTGGGCAGTGGGGTTGGAAGTCGAGGCTGCATCTCTTGCTGGGGTCATGGGACCACCATGGAAGGACAGGGTTTGCTAGGATTTCAAACAGCAGAGCTCCTGATGGTTGTGACTGCGCAGCCCTGGGTTCCTTAGTCAGAAAGCATGCACTGCTTCCGCTCACCTTTGTGTAGCTTCCCCTGGGTCTGCCACTCCAAACTCGGCTTTCATAGCTCACTTTTCATGTTCTCAAAAGCAGTCCCTCACACCAGCGTCTTCCCGTGCCAACGGGGAGAGGACTCTGCTCCATATCCCCGGATGAGGCGGAGTGCTCAGGACCCCCCTTCCGCCAGCCCTGCTGGGTGGCTCCCACCCCTGCATCTTTGTCCCTGCAGGGCTCGGCCTTGCTTCCTCGCTGATCCTATCACCTGCATTCCAGTCGTGCTGCCGGCTCCTTCTACCAGGGTGGCTTGTGCACAGCCCCTCCCTGGGGCCACCTGTGCAGACTCAGCACTGCCTCTGGCCTGGCCATACCACCTGGGGCTGCCGGTACAGGACAGCTTCCCCAAAGCACTGGGGCTTGCCTTCTGTGACCCACCCAAGATTCCCTGATAGTGGCTGGACTCAGCCAGGTATCCTGAGTACCACTCAGCCCCAGCTTGTAACCTTGATCTCAGTCCCTATGTGTCCTGTTTTGAAGGCCCTGGCAGACATGTGGACCTCATGTTTGCACCTCTGGGGCCCTGCACCAACCTCTGACCCCAGCCCATAAGTCAGGAGACCATAAGTCTAGGGCACATCATACTTCTCGAGTATGTGGCCCACACTGAGACGTGGAGGGAGGGTGCATCATTGGAGACAGCTGCCTGAAGCAACACCAAGACGGTGTGGCTGCGCTTTCTGCCCAGGCCCTGGGCCTCATTTGGAAGTTGCCACCTGGCAGGGACTCTGTGGTGCTCTGGCCTTTGCTGGGGGCAGAGGCTAGAAGTGGGTTCAGTTCCTTCTCCTGGGCCGTCAAGGGGCAGGATGGCAGAACGGGCACCAGGCAGGCACAGCACTTCACACCCCTGTCTGGGGTGCTACAGGGACATTGCCAGGGAGGAGTTCAGGCATGCCAAAGAACTCGGATTTGCACCTGCGGTGTTTGTCTCCCACATGCACTATGTGGGACTTCTTGAGACGTAGTTCTGCATGGTGTTTTACAGGATGTTTCCTGGGAGAAGGGGGCCCATGCAGTGTGAGGGTTTCACTGGGATGGGTTGAAGGAACTGCTACATTTCCTACCATAGAGAGCACTCACTGGGTGAGATGAGGTCTGAATGTGGGGCAAGCCCTGGGGGTCACTCTAGGTTAAAGGAAGTCATGGGTACCTGGGGTACCAGGACTTATAGGGCTCCTGTGATGGAAAGGTCTTTTGTCATAACGTTGTGGTGTCTCACGGTACGTGGGTCTCTGTGGGGCTTGCTGGAGTAGGAGTCATAGGAGACCACTGGGCGGCAGGGACTCAGTGATTGGGAAGCTTGTTGGGAGTGGGCCTCCAGGGAGAGTCAGCAATCTAAGGAATTACCTGCCCCCAGATGCAAAGATGATCACAAGACTACAGAAGAGGGGGTGTGGGATGAGTTTAATTCATAAAGAAACCTGATCAGAAAGACGCCTAACAGCCTGCCCTTGCAGAGATGTCCTTCCTGGAGGATAAGGCCTCCCAGGGGAGGAGGCAGTGGGGACCAGTGTTGGGCTTCAGGCCATCCCTGGAAGTCAGTCCTGTGCTCAGCAGGCAGTGGCAGAGCCTGCAGAGAGTGGCAGGCAGGCCATCAGACACAGTCCCTACACAGATACCCCCTCAGCCCCGCAGAAACCCATCCTACCTGGAGTGATGAGTGGGGTGGCTTTCTCAGGTACAGGACTAGCGAAAGGATCACATCAAAGAAGTATCAGGTTAGCCTGGAGGACCTTCTCCCCACACCCCAGACTCTTGCCACCCCACCCCAGGAGTACACCTCCTTGCTCTCCTTCCATGGTCACTTCACACAATACCGAGGTCACAGGTTTCCCTGACTGGGGCCCTTCAGGGTTGACTATGTGAATAACAAAGCTGGCTGCAAACCAAGCGAGTGGCCAGGATGCCACTCTCCAGGTCAGGACTGTCCCCCAATAGGTCTGCCCCGAAGGAGGGTTGTACCACTGGGCTCAGCTCACCCACACTTCTTCTGGCTGCTCTTGCATTTGCATTTGCTACCTGGGAGGGAGAGAGGGGTCAGTGCTGGAATCAGAGCACTCCCTCTTCCTGCCCCACCCTGCCCCAACAGCCCCACCTGTCCTGCCACTCACTCAGAGCCGCCAGGATCCCAGCAAAGGCCAGGAGCCCTCCGCAGATCAGCCCACTCAGCTGCAGGTTTTTCCAGTCTGGGGGTGGCAGGGCACAGAAAATGAGCTTGCTCCAGCCTGGGGTCTCACTCATTCATTCAAAAGACATTCATAGACTGGCACAGTGGCACACCCCTGTAATCCTAGCATTTTGGGAGGCCAAGGCGGGTGGATCACCTGAGGTCAGGAGTTCGAGACCAGCCTGGCCAACATGGTGAAACCCCATCTCTACTAAAAATACAAAAA